TTTCTTTTTTGTTTTTACTCTCCCTATCTTGTTTTAGACCGAAATTGACGTTGTTTTCTCTTGCCCGTAACTTTAAGTCAAGTTATATGGTGAGTTAAGTCCAAGCAATTTACTTAGACTTTGAGATAGAGGGCATCTGCGTCGCTTGAACTGGTGGCAATTTTCTCCATGATAATTTGTATGCATTACCTTTCTTCATGATGTCAAAATTAATTGATAAGCTTGGTATTATATGTTAAGCTGCAAAAATAGTTAATATGTAGATCGTGATTTATATTATCCCAGGGATGGCTTAGGATACGTTAATGACGTGCTTTTTCACATACCGATATCTAGATCATGATTTTCCGTTCCCTGAACTCTGGTTAAAGACCGAAGAAAAATAGACAGAATACATCCAGAGCACGTTTCTAGGAAATATAGAAATAAGATTCAGCAAATACATTAATCCATTTGTTTAGAACAGAATCAAATATATAACAAGCCAATACATATAACAACACAACAGGGGAAACAGGCAAGCATATCCCACAAACATATACTTTCGTGTATACTGGCGTCATGAATATTAAAATATAATGAATATTCAGTACTATAAAGTCTATGCTCATCACGGAAGAATTTCATTTCCATATACAGTAGCAAATTATCCAAATGAATGACACATGAACCAAATTATATAACTTACCACCGAGACTCAGTACAAAGTGGTCGTGCGATGAGTACAGTTGACGATTTTTTTTTTATTAGTATCATCTTAATGTCCAATAATGCATGAAAATATTAGTATGATTAGTATTACTGTAGTAGGTGATAGTTATATTATCAAATAGTTAACTAGGATGCATATTAGTAATACAATAGGTACCCTAAAGTTGCTTTAGGGATAATTATTATAATGGTGATAACTCTGGAGGATAATCATAATATTGGCTTCATTATTTCCTTTAATTAAGAATGGAGAAGAATGGAAGAATTTGTATACGGACCATTCTTATTTCAATATTCTAAATACTAAGTACAAGCTAAAAGTTCAAATTGTTATTACTGTTGCAATGCATCTATTACTCTGAGTTCAGTTTATTCTGAACTGTTAGGTTGATTATACTCTAAAAAAATATTTATCCTATAACATTTTCGCATGAAGTCTGTCAGTGAAAAAATATTATACATAGATGTATGCAGTGTCTGGAATGATCGCATCCAATTACGCACTTTATGAACTGAGAGAGAGAGAGAGAGAGAGAGAGAGAGAGAGAGAGAGAGAGAGAGAGAGAGAGAGAGAGAGAGAGAGAGAGAGAGAGAGAGAGAGGAGGGAGGGTGGGAGACAGACAGACAAAAAGAGAGAGAGAGAGGAGACAGAGAGCAGACATTATGAACTGAGAGAGAGAGAGAGAGAGAGAGAGAGAGAGAGAGAGAGAGAGAGAGAGAGAGAGAGAGAGAGAGAGAGAGAGAGAGAGAGAGAGAGGAGGGGAGGGGGGAGGGAGACAGACAGACAGAAAGAGAAAGAGAGAGAGAGAGAGAGAGAGAGAGAGAGAGAGAGAGAGAGAGAGAGAGAGAGAGAGAGAGAGAGAGGGAGGGAGAGGGAGAGGGAGAGAGAGAGAGAGAGAGAGAGAGAGAGAGAGAGAGAGAGAGAGAGAGAGAGAGAGAGAGAGAGAGAGAGAGAGAGAGAGAGAAAGAGAGAAAGAGAGAGCGGGGGGTGGGGAGACAGACAGAGAGAAGAGAGAGAGAGAGAAGAGAGAGAGAGAGAGAGAGAGAGAGAGAGAGAGAGAGAGAGAGAGAGAAGAGGAGAGAGGAAAGAGGAGAGAGAGAAGAGAGAGAGAGAGAGAGAGAGAGAGAGAGAGAGAGAGAGAGAGAGAGAGAGAGAGAGAGAGAGAGAGAGAGAGAGAGAGAGAGACACGAGGGAGAGCGAGAGCGAAACCTAAAAAGGAATGTATAAATATTAACACACTGGCACGTTGATGTAAATGGAATTCCAGATGCGCATAATGTAGCGTATTATTATATACACTGTGTAAGCCTAAATGAATGCTGAGAGAAATATAAGAAAAATTGAAAGAAAGAGAAAGGCTGAAAGACCAACATCACAAGACTTTTTCCACCACATATTTAAGAAGTGTTTAATTTTGTGACACTGTCCCAATGGTTCTTTGGTATCTGCTCAGGAAAATGAGATGCCGAACAGAGGAGAGGACACCGTAGACACCGTAGCTGTTTGTTTACGCCTTGCTGAAGTACTTTCGGGTCTTTGCATTTATTTAAAAAATAATAATAATAAATAAAAAATAATAAAAAATAAAAACAACAACAGCAACAAGCAACAAGCAACCCTGCCATTGGAATTTACATGGGGGTTGTCAGCGGTTATAGTATCTCGTTTTGTCTGCAGATTCTCACAATCAAAGTATGTGTATAAATTCCAATAAACACTTTCAGTACCAGTATCCAACTGGTTTAAAATATTTGAATAGAATAGCTGAGGGGGGATAAAAGTAAACTCTTATATATGGATTTTTTATTTAAATATGTGCATCAATATAATTAAAAGTATGTTAACTCAATTTTCAAATGAGCTTAGGCAGTATAATAATATCGTCACATTTTACTTTGTGCGGATTGCAAATTACAAAAATCGCTTAGTACAAAATATAACTGAATATTATAAATACACACAGGAGGACTTTGTAGAGAAAATACAACAGGCAAGACAAGATTTTTAACAGGGCCAGATAGAAACACTCAATACATGCAGTGCTAATATTAATGTCCTCTATAGTACTTAACGTTGAGCCGTCTATAAATGAGCTAAGTTACAATGACAGCACTTAAAATAAACTCAGTTCTTCCCTAAATTAATATTTCGGAATATATAGTCTTTTAATTAACAAGGAAGTACAAGGTAAAAAAAAAAAAAAAAATCTTATAACATTACAGTATATTCCTACTTTGGAAGGCACCTGTTTACAATTCACAAGAATATACATATACGTTCAAAGAATCTTTTGTTTGGGCAATACAGTATCTAACTGTATTTGGAGTATATAGTAGCAAGTATATGTATATTCATTCACATATATAAATACATAAATATAAAATATATTTGTAATAGTGTATAGACAAAGCAAATGGATTTTATATATTTTCTCTGATATTTTTTTTAGAAAAAATGGTTTTGTCTAGCATTTCTTAATGGATGAAATTAAAGAAAAAGGAACGGCACAATGCTAAGAGGGTATTAGACTCTCTTAGTATAGTAGTATTTCACGTCTGTGGAATTTATCTACAAAAAGACAAGCGGCATTATTCCTGTCCCACTATACGAATATTTGCCGTCTAAAGCAGCAAACCTGATGCAATTATTGCAATATGATCGAAATATGAAGTTATCTATATTTAAATATCAATAATGCAAGAAAATCCGAAATACTCTGATCAAGATCGACACGGAGAATGAAATATAAAATGTAAATAAAGCTAAATGTCACAAAATCCTAGATAATGGCTGGAATCACAATGTAGTCTCATTTTCTTTTATGCCTACCTTGTTATAAATCATCAACTGATGACCTGTTTTCCTCCCAATACCTTTTATCCTTCCTCTACTATGGTAAAAAAAAATGTCTAATAGTACAAACAAACAAAATTCTATATGACAAAACATTTTTTTCTCACAAACATTAAATCATGATTTCAAATATCAAACAACTTTGTCCAAGAGATATATGGCAATACCCTTATATGTTATTAATTACTTATCTGAGCAACCCACAGATATACAAACGCACACGCAAATAGGCATATATGCATGCAACATGTGTATGAATACATGTGTGAAAAAGTGGAGGGAGTAATAGAGGGGGAGAGAAAGAGAGAGAGGGGAGAGAAAGAGAGAGGGGAGAGAAAGAGAGAGAGGGGAGAGAAAGAGAGAGAGGGGAGAGAAAGAGAGAGAGGGGAGAGAAAGAGAGAGCGGAGAGAGAAAGTGAGAGCGGGGAGAGAAAGAGAGAGCGGGGAGAGAAAGAGAGAGAGGGGAGAGAAAGAGAGAGAGGGGAGAGAAAGAGAGAGAGGGGAGAGAAAGAGAGAGTGGGGAGAGAAAGAGAGAGCGGGGAGAGAAAGAGAGAGCGGGGAGAGAAAGAGAGAGCGGGGAGAGAAAGAGAGAGCGGGGAGAGAAAGAGAGAGAGGGGAGAGAAAGAGAGAGAGGGGAGAGAAAGAGAGAGAAGGGAGAGAGAGAGAGAGAGAGAGAGAGAGAGAGAGAGAGAGAGAGAGAGAGAGAGAGAGAGAGAGAGAGAGAGAGAGAGAGAGAGAGAGAGAGAGAGAGAGAGAGAGAGAGGGAGAGAGAGAGGGAAAGAGAGAGGGAGAGAGAGGGAAAGAGAGAGGGAAAGAGAGAGGGAGAGAGAGGGAAAGAGAGAGGGAGGGAGAGAGAGAGAGGAAGGGAGGGAGGGAGAGAAAGGAGAATGAAAAAAAGAGTGAGAAAGAGAGAAAAGAGCAAGAAAAACAGACAAACAGTGAGAGACACTCTGACAAAAGTCAGAGACTGAGGCAGAAACAGACGGAGATATAAACAGAAAAAGAGAGGTGCATGCATATAAAAATAAAATGTACAATGAAACCCCCTTTATCTGAACTTAATAGGAGTGTAAAGTTCCAGAAATATAATATACAATACAGTATAATTCTCACTGCATTTAGATAGCCTAATTGTTGCTTCAGTTTGACAACTGTATTTCCATATGTATCTTCATATTCTAGTTGCTGCTACAGATTAATATATATTCAGTTTACATTATTATTTTCTTCGCTATTACAAGATCTTCAATCTTATCTCTTCACTCTTTAATTTTTAATGCCCAGACTTTGAGAGGTATTAACATGACCACTTACATATGGCACTATAACTCAGTTATGAATCTATGTTCTGACACTGATCCATATCACTATTTTGACTAACTGGTGGTTTTAAATGGATACAGATAATTGAATTTTATCATAAAATTTATCTCAATTCTGTTCATCAGTTCTAAATTTATACAACTTTTGTGCTACTAACACTGTATTATGTTTGGTCTCTTATAGCAAATACACATTACCTGAAAATAAAAAAAGCAACAAATTTTGCCTCCAGACCACATGTCTTAGAAAGTATTTTATGCAAGTTGATGTCAACATTTTACACCAAGCAGACATATTGAGAATGTCCTTCAAAATTCTCAATGTGCCGATGGAAGATACAAAATGCCTTCACACATAATAGTAACTAATTACAGGATGAAAAAAAGAGATTACTTCTGGAGCACCTATTCAGTATCACAAGTAACTTATAATAACAAAGTGCCCAAAAACTTTGGGCTTGTGGTTGTTAAAACTACGTCCTGAGACATTACTTTTCATCTTCTAAAAATATCTTAATGCTTCGAATTTAATTTGATACTCTGTGCACTCTGAATCAAGTCATGTTTTAACTTAAGGGTACAATACACATAAAGGCCTTTTAATAATCTTTATTCTAAATATTTTCTATTAACTGGTTTATCTGTGATCTTTAGATATCAAACAAGCTTACAATTAGACTTTGGTAGTTTCATCTGACTTGATCAATACTATTTTTTATATAAAGTAAATGCATCAGTTCTCTTTCACTGATGCATTGCTGATCTTTCTACTAATCTACATTTGAGCTGAAACATAACTCACTCTGTACTCATAAAATACTGCACATTACAACAGCGTAAAAAAACATTACATGTTAATACCATATTCTTGCTACACTAAATACCTGAATAACTGATTATGATATCCACACTTGCCAAAATTACAATATACTCAATTTAACTGACATCCTTTACTGTTTCATGTTAAACCTTTACAGTGATTTCATATACAAGTAGAATTATATAATTGTTAATGACAGTTTGCAAATAAGCTGCAAATTGTATCCTGAAAATAAACTGCCATGTAACGTGCCAATTTCCATTTTCTTCCATTTGCTTCTTCCTCTCTTGGTGATCTTCCTACTCAATAGTGGGCTTCTCTGATATTTTGGTGGAATATACAGCATCCAGGTAGCACCATGCCATCTCCCCCACAAGAGATCGATCGGGGATGCTTTGAGCCATTCCATACAGTGCTGCCTGTTAGAGAAATTACATGCGACGGCATTATCTATGAAATCCATTCACTACTGTTGAGATGCTGCTACATGATCTCTATCTTTTAAATGTTTCTATTTTGACAATTCCTTCTTCCAAGAAAGTAACCTTATGAAGTGAAATGCAAGCACATCCTATCCTTTTTTTGGTGCATTCAAAAAGCATCCACAAAATAAAACACAATTACTTACACTTCCCCCAGAATCTTTTGGTGGGTTTTCCATTATCTCTCTAGATAATTCATCTATGTCCTTTATGAAACGCTCAGCAACACCCGGATGGGTATGCAGGACAGTCAGTGCAATGTGAATGCTGAAAAAAGAAAAGAGAAAAAAGAATAAATAAATAAATAGATGACTAAATAAATAAAAGAACAGAAAACATTATATAACACTTTCTAATGAAATTTTACAGTTGGTTTATAATATCAAGAAAAGGAAAGCAAACCATAGGTATGATAAAAGAAAACAATACTTAATGGAAAACTCACCTAGCAGGATACTGCAGGGCATTCAAATTCCAGCCTCTCTTGCCCATTCTATCAGAGAGTTGATAGATGTTATAGTCATTGGACCCCAAGGCAACAACTGATACTTCTGGATTGCCATACACAAAGACTCCTTTGATCTTGCGACACCTTGATATGGATAAGAAAAATGTGAATAAAGACACAATCAGCATCAGCGATGATATTTAATTTGATAATTAATAATTATTGACATGTAAGTCCATATGCTTTTCATCAATAACTGCCTTACAGTAATAAATTTCTAACCCTTCTTCTATCTTTCTTGTAGTCTGGATGATGCTCCTTGTATAGTCAACATAACCTTGCTTGCCATGGTACACCAAAGCAGCCCAACAAGCTGACACTATGCCTGCAATAAAAATGGTAATATGTATCAACAGATGTTCTTTTGTAATGTTGTAACACTGTCTCCAATAACATCAGTGAGAATTAGATTTTCACTATAGTGCACATGCAAAGATGTTTAAAAAACAGCAAAAAATCTGTGATTTTCATCATGACCAACCTATTATTAATTATAGAACATAGAATTCATCATAATTTTTCTTATATAAATATCCAAATCGATATCTGAAATCTATAAGACAATTAAACACTGACTTTCACTTTCTTTTTCAATTATAACAAACTGATATCAAACTAGCTGTCGAGTTGATTGCTATCAAAAAGCATCCAATCCTTACCACCAGATCTTGAGCCACCAATTGTCGGGGTGGCATAAATACCGCCTGGCCAGTCAGGGGTAACGAAGAACTGATGGTGTCGCCACTTGGGTTCATTATACAATATAACTGAAGAGCCTTTTGGTGCATAACCATACTAAAATGTGAAAAAGATTACATGCATGAGGTTCAAATACAACTACCAAATATATAAGTTTTTAAAATCAAATGTAACAGAACAGCATGGAAAAAACTGATAAATGACAGTATCAAAAATGTTTTGAACATTAATTACCTTATGGGTATCAGCAGATATGCTAGTAACTCCTTGAACACGGAAGTCAAATGGTGCAAGAGGAAATCCTGCATCATCCATGAATGCAATGAGAAATCCTCCAAGACAAGCATCGACATGGACAGGAATATCATACTGGAGGCCTAAACCTGCTATTTCAATAATGGGATCCATGACACCATGTGGGAATTGTGGGGCTGAGCCTGCAAGCTGCAGAAAATAATAGGAATATCAAAATATGTCCAGTATTACATATTTAATGAAGACAGACATCCAATCCTGGATTAGAAATTAAAATAATAGACATATCAATAACAAAGCTAATGAGTAAACATTCCAAGAGCTCAGAAAATTGGACAATAATGTGACAAACCAAATTCTACTTTATGTTAATATTACCGCAGGTAAAACTGTATTTTATAACCATTAAATGATTTTATTTTTGTTTTCAGTGTAAGCATTACTACTAGACCAAACCAAAATATTTTGTAGAAATGCCTCAAACTATTGTAATGTATTTCATGATCTGTTTACTACTCTTACCATGCATGTGTTGCGGTTGATCATCTTTCTCATGGCTACAATATCAACTTTCATGGTTTCAGGGTCAAGAGGAACATGCCTGATTTGCATCCCTAACAACTGTGCACCTGTGAAAGAAAAGCAGGATGTCAGTCTTTATCATATGACAGTGCATATCACTGAAAATATGGCATATTGTTTCATTTTCTTTTCATTTCCATATACATCTGCATAAAGCAAATTTCCTATCATAAATACACAGTAACTTCTCTTAAAACAAAGAAAAGAACAATACAAAGTAGTGTACTAAAAAATTGGCTTCAATATATATTACCTTTATCAAAGGCAGCATGAGCAGACACTGGAACCAGCATCTCAGGTTTCTTGATGCCTTTTACGTTGATAGCATAGTCACGATAAGCTTTGCATGCCATAATAATGCTTTCAGTACCTCCAGTTGTCATCTTTACAACAAAAGAATGATAATATACAGTAAGCAATGGAATTCTAAAATATCCCACTTCACTTTCTAAACTGTTAATAATAATATAACTTGGTATTCATATTTAAAAGTTTGCATCGAAAAGTACTTACATTAACTATTAACTATGAGATTGCTAACTAAAAGATAAACTTACAGACACTCTTATTCAAATTACCTTAACAAGGTAACTTAACATTGTGAATTAAAGTAGTGTTTTTATTTTTTTAAAAACAAGAAAAAAAAGAAAGAAAGAAAAAAAAAAAGGATTTCAGTTTCAAGAGAAATGGAGTATGGAATATTGACTTTATGGAATGTTGACTTTGCTAACAGCAATATTAGATACTATAAAATAATTTCAAAAATCAATGAAAGGGGTAAACAGGTGAGACAGGAAGTGCTTGTAATTGGCTCATTGGTGACTTAGTAGTTATGGAGCCACCTATGTGTAAAAATAATTAATATATCAAAATCACGGTGGACATGGCACGTATGCAGATGCCATCCCCAGCGGATTGGAGTTAACATGATAACCATGAAATAGTATCTTATCTTAAACAACACAAAAAAGTGTTTATGTATTTTTTTTTATACACCTTGAATTCCCAATTTAATTAACAGATAAACAACTAACTTACAACTCCACAACTAGAAGCATCTCCATGGAACATTGTGCAGCACATTCTCACTACCTCTGCCTCCATTTTTCTCACACCCGGGAAGACATCAGGGTGAAGAGGATTAGACCAGGCTGACATACCTGTTAAAGGTGTCTTCATATTAATAACTGATTAATTATGATCTTCCTATCTAGGTAACCTAATGTCAAAAGCAAGAGACACTTAGCTATTTTTTTTTATATAAGATACCTTACAAAGTCCAATTACTATGTCATTTACAATTTTCATGTCCAGAAATTTTAATATACAGATACTTACGTCTTAAGCAATCTAAATTAGCTGATACTTATTAATGCCCTCCATATCTAGAACTTTTAAAGTCTCTAAACTAATTGACATGAATACCCCCTCTCCCCCCCTTCATATCCTTACACATGCTGAATACAGCTTTTTGACACATCCTGACAAATGCTGAAAGCCACACCTAACACTTACCAAATGGTTATTTTCATCCATTTTGTTATAAATATATCATATTTTCTGACACTTTTCACTGATGCCCCATTCATGATTAATAATAGAGACTACAAAACCCAAACGACAGCTTGGCTGATATCTAGTTTGTCATCCACCACATACTACTTTTTCCCTTACCTCTAAATATCCTTAGAGGATCTTTAGAGCTATGTTGGATGTCTATGACAATGAATAGCTGCTCATAACAAATTTCTACATAACATTACAGCAT